AATAATAATAATAATAATAATAATAATAATAATAATAATAATAATAGCAATAATCAATAATTACTCTTAAATAATCCACAATAAAACGGGGTATTACAGTCTATCCACCTTACAAAGAATTCTGTCCTCGGAATTCGAAAAAAAAAACTAGACAGCAATAAAATACCAAGGGGACTCAAAACTCAAAGTTCGGATATCGCCTCCGAAGCTCGGCCTCCTTCTCCCAAGTCGCCTCCGACTCGTCATGTCGACTCCAAAGCACCTTCACCAAGCTAACTGCCTGGTTCCTCAACTGATGGACCTTCTGGTCCAGAATGGCTACCGGTACCTCCTCGTAGGTAAGGTCTCGCTCGACCTGCAGTTCGCCGAAGTCCACCACGTGACCGGGATCATTCACGTATCTCCGCAACATCGAGACGTGAAACACGTCATGCACTCCCGAAAAGCTAGGTGGTAAAGCCAATCGATAAGCCAGGTTCCCGACTCGGGCAAAGATCTCGAATGGCCCAATATAACGCGGTTTAAGCTTCCCCTTCTTCCCGAAGCGAATCACGCTCTTCATAGGCGAAACCTTCAGGAAGACATGATCTCCGACGGCATACTTGTGCTCCTGTCTCTTCCGGTCGGCGTAGCCTTTCTGCCTTTCTTGGGCAGCCCGGATATGCTTTCGGATAGCCTCAACTGTCTCTGAAGCTCTATGAATGAACTCCGGACCCATGATCTTCCTCTCTTACCACGAAGCTCCCCACTTCACGTGGTACAATAATGCAATCTAGCACAACAACTTCTAAAGGTAAAACCGCGAAAGTTACCTCACTTCATTAGTCCTCCAAGGAAGACTTAGGTCAATGCAATACACGTGAAAAATTCCCGAAATCGATACGTATTTACACGCTAGAGACTTGGCAGCTGTGACATGAACGGCTGGCCTGGCATGCGGCAATTCGGCACACTACATGCGGCACACTACACACGGCACTTCTTATAACTCGAGATGCATCACCGAGCGTGGCACGCCTGTGCGCGGCACCAACACTCAGTCCACCTGCACTGCCCGCATCCAGTAGCTACGGTTCATTTCTCATCAACTATTACATCTCCTCGTTTCGATATGTATACGAAGATCGAAAATTCCCTAGTGCTTTGCGACCCTAATTCCAACTTCAATATCCAAGTACTCCGACTTCGCTGTCAGGGTACTCGTACTTCTTCATGAGTTAATTGGTTGATTACTCACAATGTTTCTTATAACTCCTTGCTATCCTCTTTAAAAGACTTCTTCTCGATCAGGTAGGTGAAGACTTCCTCGTACGATCCTCCGGCATGATGCTCCATTCGTTCACAAAAGAATGATTGAATTACGCATATCACTAGGCCCATATATTCTCAAGAGTTGCAACATTATTCGCCCTCTTGAACCTTTCGCATTGCCTTAAAGATGTCATGAAACAAAACTCCCAAATTACGAGTTTAGAAGTCCAACGGAAAAATAAAGACTCTTAACTCCATCCGAAATATCATTCCATAGAAAAGAAAAGACAAATGGAGTTTCAAAAATTACTGAAATTGATCAATCAAGAGAAATCTAAAAATAATATTCAAACTTGTCTAACAAGACAAAGGGAATTAAACAAGGTCTGCCAAAAATACGAGAAATGCAATCCTAACAAAATAATGGACAAATAATCATCACAAATTCGACATTCGATCCACTTCTCAACCTTGGTTCTGCTCGGCTTCATACTGGGCCATCGTGTATACCCGTGCTCGACCTCCTTCGCCATACCTTGGTTGGGCCTGCTGTTGCTGCTGCTGGTGCTGAATTTATTGTTGAGGCGGCAGCGGGGGAAGCTGTTGATGTTGGGGCTGCCGCAGCTGGAGGGGCTGCTGGTAAGGTTGCTGTCTAGGGGGTTCGGTGCAGTTGCTGTAGAAGTGACTGGGCTTCATGCAGTTGAAGCAGACTCGCTGGGCAAAACGACACTCTCCTGGATGATAACGACCACAGGTACGGCACTTCGAAAGTTGGTCCTGAGCGATGGGGCGCTCACCACGACGGTCATTCCCGCCATGCTTCCCCTCCCGGTTGTCCCGGTGAAAGTCGGCCTTCCTTTTACCCGAACTAGAGTCGAGCGGCACGGAGGAGATGGGCTGGACCAGCTAAGCAGAAGGGACGAAAGTATCGAGAGTCTGATAACTCTCAAGCTGGGTGGCTCGAATAACAGTCTCATCAAAGGGAAGATCCCCCTGGCTAGCAACATGCATACGGAGGGTTTGATTCAAACCGTCCCGGAACTTGTGGGCCTTCTTCAGATCGGTGTCCACCATATGCGGAGCAAATGCGCTCATGCGGGTAAAATCCCGCTCGTACTCCTCAACGGTACCAGTCCCCTGGGTAAGATCCCAGAAAGCGCGCTCCATCCTCATGCGATAAACCTGAGGATAATACTTCTCCATGATCACCTCCTTCATGCGATCCCAAGTCAAGACATTAAACTCCGCTTGCCTCAACCTCCAATAGCCGGACCACCATAAGGCGGCACTGCCCTTAAGAATGTAACAGCCACAAATAACCTTCTGTTCGACAGAGCACTGCAAGAGGTCAAAGTTCTGCTCCAACTGATGGATCCACTCCGCCACAGCCTCGGGCCCTTCAGTCCCATGAAATTCTGAGTTAGACTCCGAAACTGGAGCACGATTTTGAGATGAGCCCCATTCGGATTGGGAGCCTGCTGGTGAGGGGGAGATGGGGGTGGAGATGGAGACGGAGAAGCCTGCTGGTTGCGAGCATTACGACGAGCCATAGTTCTACATTGAATAGGCCGAACAAAATTAGCACAATAATATAGGAAGTCTAGAGTTCAACGCTAGAGTTCGCATTTAAAGGTGGATTAGCCCTGACCCCGACTTCATTTCAATAATCAATAATCAATCGATATACAATAATCTCAAAGTCATTCAGGTACTCATACTTGAGCTAGCGCGGCACGACGAGAGCGAGTGGTCTTAACATGAACTCGAAACACATAATCACATAATCAAC